AATTTCCCTCTGCATTTGTTTGCTATCTCATCTTTTGTCTGTCTTGTTTATTTAGATAAACTCTTCTTTGAAGAGATTCTCTTACTGTGTATTTGTATGATGTCTGGCACAATGTGGGCATATAGGTGTTATTGAACTATAAATAATGGTACCTCAAATCAGAATCCTACATTCTGAGGATTTAAAAAAAGTTTGAAATCTTCTCTGTTAAGATTTCAAAAAATTAAAATCAACAGGAATCCACTTCTGTAAGAATTGCATTTAAAACCTTATATTCTCTCCTTCTCCCTCCCCTGTATTCCCTGAACAACTACAATTAGGACCGCTTTGATTTGAGTCTTTATGAATCGTATCTAGCTAAGTTGATTTTTTTTTCTCCATTCCTATCAGTCCACCATTCAGGGAGCAAAAAAGCCATGAAGTTTCTCTTCCAGAATCTTAGCTGACAGACCCGTCTCTCCAAGAATTGTCAGTTTCACAAACAATTATTTAAACTGAAAATGCCAGGAAAGGATCCCTTTAGTAAATGTCAGTTGTGTTCAGGTTTAACAACTAACAAACTTCTAAGGAAGCCCAGGAACCACGTTTAAAAGCCCAAATGCCAAATCAAAGTCTTGAGAGAATTGGAGATAAAAAATGTTTGTGATCCTAAACTAAATGTAGCCCAGCCTGTCAAATACCCAAGGAGTCTCCTTATTGTGAGCATTACCCAGACCAGTGTGTTTCCAACTACAAAAGCTGTGCATTGTAAAATAAAATGGCATTTTGACTGGATGGTAGAGAGATGGGAATTTGAAGAGTTCGAATAAGGTGGGTTTTTTCCTTTCATGGGATACATTTAAAGCTACAAAAAGAACAGGAGTACTTGTGGCACCTTAGAGACTAACAAATTTATTTGAGCATAAGCTTTCGTGGGCAACAGCCCACTTCATCAGATGCATGTAGTGGAAAATACAGTAGGAACTTATTTCCCCCCCCTACACACACAGTTCCTCACATCCCCTTGTCAATTGTTGGAAATGGGCCATTTTCATTACCCCAAAAACAGTTCTTTTTCTCTCCTGCTGATAATAGCTCACCTTAACTGATCACTCTCCTTGTAGTGTGTATGGTAACACCCACTGTTTCATGTTCCCTGTGTGTGTGTGTGTGTGTGTGTGTGTCTGTCTGTCTGTCTGTCTATCTATCTATCTATCTATCTTCCTACTGTATTTTCCACTACATGCATCCGAAGAAGTGGGCTGTAGCCCACAAAAGCTTATGCTCTAATAAATTTGTTAGTCTCTAAGGTGCCACAAGTACTCCTGTTCTTTTTGCGGATACAGACAAACACGGCTGCTACTCTGAAACCTGTCATTTAAAGCTACAGTAACTCTGATTTGTTAAACTGACAGATTCCACACTTAGAGAGGAAGTTCTTAATAGTAGCATCCTGGTAATATTTAAATTACCAGGTATTGGTGTTTAGATAGTGGTGCACGGTGGTAGATGCCTTACAGATACCAAAAATAGAGATTGAACTGGATAAATCTGCAACTTCTCTTGCTTTTCTTTTTTTTCCCCTATTGCCTGGCACAGTTCAGAGGCTTGCCAGTGTGTTTAGTCAATGAAAGTTAATAGCCATGTAGATAAGCATGTGTGATTTTTCTAGTGCCAGTTATTAGATCAGCAGATGCTCTGGGGAGTATTTATTAGAGATGTCACATTAGTAATCCCAAGGTGTATTTATACTTGCAGATTTCTCTTGCTTTAGCAGTACTGACAAGGTGGTCCAGATGTTTAGATTCGGGAGGAGGAGGAGATTAGGTATTTTGCACAGTCACCCTCTTTTCAGTTTTGATTAAGAATGAGAGGTTATCTAACACTCAAGTATTTTAGTGGACTTTTAATTGAAATGGAACTGAAAATGAAGATAGGTAAATATATATTCTCCTGTTTATCTAAGTCCCCTCTTCCTGTTGTAAATATTTGACATGACCTTTCACCTGGTAGGGTTTTAGCTGTTTTTGAAAGTGTTTCTTTAATTGCTCTCTACTTAGAGATCATTAAAATGTTAGGTAATCACATCCTGAATTCCATGTTGAATAGGACTGCTTGTAAATAGGCTGCAGCCCTAATTATTTCTCTTGGAAAGAGTTCAGGTGAGTATGCCTCAGACTTGACTAGCCATGGTGAATGAGAACTGAGTAATAATTCTCCAGTGCTGAGAACTAGGGTCAGCTTTGGTTTAGGAGCGTTCCCTCTGAGCTACTACTGTCTGAGGTTTAAACATAGGCTTTACTAATGCAACATAAATATTATGTAACAACTTAATGAGTAACTAACTTCAGTGAATGATTATATCAGACTGTCTCTAAGTGGTTAAGACTGTTGCTTCAAACCAGTTGGGATTAGGAAAGGTCAGATGTTGTGGATAGAGCCTTGTTTATTATTATGGTTTTATCATATGGCACTTGATTTTAAATCCAATAAAGAATAAAAATCTTACTAAGACCACATATTAATGTCCTTATTTTTCACTGAAAGAAAATTCTAATTCATTTGAAGCATCCAGCATCTCTAATTACCTGATTGGTTGATCACCAGTGGATAGCTGAAATAGTCTTGTTCTCACAAAAATAAAATATTTAATGAGCTCTGAAATATACACCTCTACCCTGATATAATGCTGTCCTCGGGAGCCAAAAAATCTTACTGCAATATAGGTGAAATCGCGTTATATCAAACTTGTTTTGATCCGCCGGAGTGCGCAGCCCCACCCCTCCAGAGCGCTGCTTTACCACGTTATATCCGAATTCGTGTTATATTGGGTCACGTAATATCGGGGTAGAGGTGTATTTTTAAATACTTTGATAGATACCAAAAGCATCGTTTTAAATATTAACTCTCAAAATCTCTTTGGTTTGTAAGTCCATAGAAGGGCATATGATTGCTCTGAAGAGAAAATGTCTTTTTATTTCTCTTGGACATAAATTAACTGTCTGATTTAAACATAATTACAATGAGGTGCCAAACTATGTACGGCCCAGAGCAAAAACGGAGATACCCTGGCATCCTTGTAAACCTCCAGATTTATTTTTTTAAAACATTTGTGGAATAAATAGATGCTTATGGAAGTCCTGAACTAATATTAACTAGGACATGGCATGGCATACATTTAGATAAGATTTCCTGCTCTGTCAGTGCACCTCCATCTCGACATGCAGAGCCTCCTGGTCAGAGCCTCTGCTTGTTTCTGTGGTGGTTTATTTGTGATATGGATAAGCTCCTACTAGGGAGAAGGAAGGAGAATGCTGTTCACTTTCATTTGAGATCGAAGCAGAATTTGCAGTCGTGCTTTCAAAAATGAAAGATGATTGCACTATTAAACCACTGACCCTAAACCTCTCTCCTGCTAGTGAAGGAAGAGTTGATCGGGTTGCGTGCTGTATCCTCTTGTTAAACTCAGCCATTTTAATAAACGTAACATGTTTCTATGCATTGATCCAGCAACTTCATGCACAATATTTTCATCCATGTGTTCAAATGTGAACTCTAAAGCTCATAGTTTTGACTGTCTTTTTTTTAAAATCCTGTCTGGTGGTGATACCTTGAGTTCATAGAATCATAGAACCATAGAAGCTCAGGGTTGGAAGGGCCCTCAGGAGGTATCTAGTCCAACCCCCTGCTCAAAGTTATTGAAACACAACTAATCAAAAAACTCCAACAAATTCACTTTTTGCAGTTCATATGGCGATCTTACATTTTGCATTTCTCACTCAGCATGGACGCTGAAAATGGACTAGTGAGTTTCACTTTCTGGCTTTCATGCACTAGCACAATGCTGTAATGTTTGGGTTGGAAAAAAGTGCAGAGGAATGTTTGTATTTAAAGAAACTATTTTCATTAGAATAAAATAAGGGAAAATTTCTAATGACAAACTGTAAAAATCTTGTTTTTCATCAAACATAAAAGTTAGTCCTAAATTGATCTGATGGTATCTATTTAATAGTCCAAAATGTCTAATGAAGGCAATGAAAGAAAATTGTGTGTAAAAAGACTAAAAAGATGTTCACCTGTACTTTGTCTATGCTTATGAACCGATTTGATCAGCACAGATACAATATGATTTCCTCATCCACCTCCCCAGAGTGTTCTTTAGTTTTTAATAACTTCTCCTGTTTAAGTAAATACAGTATTTTGATACAGCTTGAAGTATTGTTTGGGTTAAATTAATCAGAGGGGGTTTGATCTGGTGAAATCCTCTAGAGATCAGATGGTGTAATTCTTACAACACTTGGCTAGGAAGCAAATAGTGTCTTTTTGCTTAATTAGATTCAAGGAAGGCGCATACAGCCATACAAATGTTCCTAGACAAGAGGAGAGAGGATTAAAGTGCATAAAGAAAATACACGAGTCAAGATTGCAGATTGAGGAATTCTTTAAAAAAAAAAAAAAAAAAGTCGCAACACTTGCTCTATGCGGAATATGTTAAACATATGAGATTAGATTAAATCAAAGCAAGACAAACCATCATAATATGGAGCTAGACCTCCTTTACTGGCCCCCAAAATAAAATAATTTAATATCCAAAGGCTTTAAACAAAGGTAACAAAAGTCACAGTGGAAAAGGCAAATAGCAAGAGGAGAGCAAATATAAAATCAAAAGTAAAACAAAGGAAATGCATTTAAACAAACAAAACTTGCAGGCGCAGTTCAGAGCGTAGGTTAAGGAAAACGAGTCATAAAAGAAAAGTGAGGACAGTGGGGAAATAGAAGAAACAGTGACACAATAAGGGGGAAAAACTAAAAATAGGAGCCTTAAAAATTTGGGTGAGTAAGAGGGGAATGGAAATCTTGCTAATGCGATGGAGGCCCCAGTGGAGCTGATGAATAATGGGTCACCTGTGCAGATTAGATGGTGTAGCCTGAAATTGATACAAACTGTTTCTAAAGAGTGTAAAATTAGCTAAATTAAAATTACATTCTTATCCTTCTTGTATCTTTTATTTCATGCAAAGGTGACAAAAGTTGAGAGGAGCCCAGTTAGAAGACAAAGTAATCTTTAGCATGTACATGCATACACTGTGGTGTCCACCTGTGAACACGGCATAAGGTAACCTTGTATTTCTCTAAGTATCCATCTTACTGGCCATTCATAAATATACAGAGAGAGAGAGAGAGATTAAAACAGAACAGTATTGGAGAGAAAAGAATACCTGCCCTCATCTTTCAAACAAAGGATCAGCTGCTGGAGTCCCAGCAGTGCTCCTTCTTGGGCTGCAGTTGTAGTCCTAATAAGTAGGAGGACAGGATGTTTGTATCTCCACTGGGTTGTCTTTGATGCTTAGGTCCCAGCATGCAATGCTGCTGCTTGACTCAAGCATCAGACTAACCAGTGGAAATATGTATGTCCTGTCCCCTAGTTATTGGGAGTGCTGCAGCAGATCAAGACAGAACATTGCATGTTGGCACATGTAGTTTCTCCAGATTGCACCTTCATATGAAAGGTGAAGATGGCAGCAGGACACATTAAAGCACTCTGGGCTGCACTTTGGGTTGCCCCTGTTCTCATGCTAATTAGCAGCCTTTTCCTGTCCCTGCTCAGTAGTCACTGTTGGCAAAATGGCATTATGTTCAGCTCCTGGGTCCTTTGTTTCTGTTCAGAAAATGAGCTTGGTGACTGCAGAAGACCCTTGTGGTTAAGTCATTTTTTAATATGCTGTATGTGGTCCTGCCTCAGTGCGGGGGGCTGGCCTAGATGACCTCTTGAGGTCCCTTCCAGCCCTATGTTTCTATCATACATAGCTTTATATAAAGGATTTGGATTCCCTTTCTTCCATCTCCCTCTTCTCTCCAGTTAAATCCACTGATTGAACTGCAGGAAGTGCCAAGAATAGCATAGCCCAGCTCCACTCCTTCTCTGACAGAAAATGCAAGAGCAACTCTCTAAACATCCACTTGCTTGCAAGTCATGTTTACTCTTGAATATTGATGCCCTGTTTACACTTGAATGTCAGGAACAACAACAGGCAGCTCAGACCAGTGCACCACCAGTGAACTGATTTTTATAGAAGATGTTAATCTATTGGAGTGCAGTGTCTGTCCATCTCTGTCTGTCTGTCTCTCTCTATGGTCCACAGACCCTTTTACGCTGGGTCTCCAACCTGTACTCAACTGAAGGAGGTAAAAGCCATTCTCGGTGGAGTGCTCCACATAATTGAAAAATATAGCGGGCCTTTGTTTTTTTTTCTTGCACCTTTTGGACTTCACATCTCAGCTGCTGCTTGCTCTTCTGTATTTGGATTTGGATTTAGCATTGCTGATAGCCTGTTACCCTCATTGAAAGCTTTTAACCTAAGCTGTGAGTGGCACATGTTTTCACAGGAATATTTTTATCATTACAAGCTGAATCTCATTCTCCCCAATAAATGGAGACCGGAAACTGCAGTCTCTGCAGAATATTGTCTAATATCACTGGTTTTCATAGTTGAAAGGCTTTTTAAAAATTTAAAAGCAGCTTGATTATTTTTAATTCCCTTACTGGTTGATAGGGTACTAGATATTTACCCTGTCATGTCATATGATCATTAGTTATCCAGCATTTAGAGATATTGATTATAGAGTGCAGTGTGCAATTTGTTACATAATTATCCACTGTAATTTTAGTTTTTGCATGAATAAACTGTTTAATTAGAACACGAACTTTTAATATTTCAGAATGTACCAAACAGAAGTATAATTGATTATATGCCTGGCCTGTGTAGGAATCCTGAAGTTATTATGTAAGGACACATAACTACATTTAATCAAACATTGGCTAAAGCCAGCTGTTCAGCACATAGTTTTGGCACAAAGTAAGTAACAATTTAACAATTACTGAGTGCTGCTGAAAATAGTCTTGCAGTAGAATGGGCCTTCTGCTGTGCATTTCAATGGCACCTAAGACACCTCACCGGGCTGTTTTTTTTATTAAAGAAAATGTTGCTTAACAAAATAATGTAAACTAAATGATGCATCTGTTTAAACAGTTTGTTTCTGTAGGTCCTCGAGCCTGTGTTTAATGAAGTAATCAACCAGTTTTGTGTGTGTGTTGCGGTATGTGAGCTTTCAATGGGAGAAGGGTGTGTTGATGAGTAATGAAGGGTTTGTTACCAGTATTGTGCATAGAATGCTATAATAGCATGCAGCAAATAGTCTTCCCCCACGCACCCCAGTTTGCAATGTTAGGGGTATCCTTGAAAACCCTTTCACCACCTTCCCCCCCCCCCCCCCCCCCCCCCGCCCATTTCCACCCTATCTGTACTGTGGCACAAGGAACAGTTTGACTTTTACTGCACGATATTTTTTCCAGAAAGCTGAGTTTACGTTTTACAGTTTTTGCTTATCAAGTGCAATTCTGACAACTTCCTCATACTGGAGAGGTTTCAGAACTGCACGGGGGAAGAAGTGTGAGGCTTCTCTTGGACTTCCCACACACCCACTCCCCCTTCTTTGTCTTGGGACCAGATTCCATTTACTTCAAAGAGAATGTCACATATCATAGGGAAATCGGGAGGGAATTGAACCTTGCGAAGTGAAACCCATTCCTGCTGTCTTCTTGTTCTGGCTGAGGGTAGCTGCCTCGGACTTTGCATTATTCCTAGATCAGTTGTTGCAAAAGTTTTTGTTGTTGTTGTTGTTGTTGTTGTTGTTGTGTCTCCCTCCCACCCCACCTCACCCCCTCTGCCAGAAAAAGGGAGGGAAACTGCCTCATAAAATGTTCCTTGCGGTGTCAGGGAAGGAGGTGGGACCGGACCATTTAACCACCTGGCTTACTGGCAGGTCAAAATAAATCCTCCAGATTCCAATCAGTTTGTCACCTATATGTTTTTAGAACCCAAATATGGCAGGTTGCAGAATGTCAGCTTTTTGGCAGCGTTGGAAAGCTGTCAGTCAGATACTAAATTGGGCATAGAAGTATTCTCCATCCACAGAAATGAAATCTCATTCTAAAAGCACTCATTGAAGTGCTGTCAATAGCTGCACAATCTTTTAGCTTCTATGCTGCAGTCTTTATCATACACGTCTTAATTGCAAAACCATTGGGTTTTGTAACTAAAAAAAACACATACTATTTTTTTTAAAATGCTACCATGGAACAGTGACTTCTGGGGGTCATTGATATGGCTGTAGCAAATTCGATCACCAACGAGCAAGTTATGATTTAAAGAAACTGAAGGCGTGACCAGTTCTTACACTAATGGTCAAAGATAAGGGTGCCCAAATGCAATGATTCCAAAGGACATAATGGTAACTTGGAAAGTGTCCAAAGGCTGCTTTTAGCTTGTATATAAACTTACATAATCTTTGAAGGGAAGCAAACACACAAGCATGTTTACGTGAACTCATTTTTTCCAGAGTGGAGGAATATAAATTGCTTCCTATTTGAGTTCCCTAGAAATGATCTCTATCCCCATAAGATTAAATTGCTTGTTTTTGCCTTCAAGTGTATCACTGCACCCTAGCTGCTTATCCCTTTGCTTCTTTCCTTCTCTCACCCCAATGCTGCTGGCCATGATCCCCTCCCCACCTGCCCTCTATTTGTCCACTTCCCCCACAAGCATCTGTCTCTTTTTCATGTTTCCTCCTACACATGGAACACCCTCTCAAGTATTCCAATCTGCCAAGCCTTCACCCTCTCATTTAAATCCCCACATGCCCACGAGAAGTGAATCTATAATTTATTTTGTAATTAAAATTAAGCCATCAAGGAGTACACGTAATCTAAACTGATTGGTGGCACAATCGTGTTACTGTTCCCTATCCCTCCCTATTGTTTGTCATCCTCACACATTATGTTGTAATAAATGTTAGGTCTCCGTTCTGCAATCAGATCTGTCTGCGCAGTCCACTGCGCCTCTGTTGGTGTCCTGTTGATTTCAGTGGGGTACCACAGGGGTTCAGGAGTTCACCTACACAGATCCAGCAGCAGGCTCTTAGGGTAGGGACATAGTAAGACAATGTATTCTGTAAAGCACCTGGTGTGAATTTGGGCACTATATAAAGTATCCAATAATAAAATGAAAGCCTACAATCTTTTAATATAGTTCTCACTCTACATTCATAAGCAGAGGGTGATTGCAGGCACCATTTTATAATTATTCAACACTTAGTGGCCACCATCAACATTTTTATAATTTTGCCTAACATTACCATGATACTTGCTGTATTTCCTGTATATAGTATAGAGAATACCATGGTAAGATGAGTGACTTACAAATAGAAACAGGAAAGATTTTATGGTAACCCCTGAATAGTGCTTTACATTTTCAAAATGCTGTACAGATATTAATTAGTCAATCCTCACAGCTGAGAAGTTGGTACATGATCTTGTTCCCACTTTACGGATGGGCAAACTCAGACAAATAGGTTAACATGCAATTCTAGTTTGAAGCACATACTTTGGTGACACCTTACCTACATGTATCATGCATCTCATGTCAGGGCTGTTTGTGATGCTGCACAAGCAGGAAAAATCCCAGCTTGACTTTCAGATCCCAGAGTGAAGTTTCAGGGCTGGCAGTCAGGAAAAGGCACGTAGCTTGTAAACTGAGTAAATCTCATGTAGGTAGTGAGAAAAACCACTCTGGAGCCCAGGCCATGGTTAGTCACTTCTCAGAGCAGAGTCACATTTTAAGATTATTTCCTAAATCCAAACAGTGAGTCAGTTGTAAAGACAAGGTTAGAACTTGGGAGTTCCTGATTTCATCCTCCAGTCACTAAACCATGCGCCCTCGCTACCCATTAGAACTGTGTAGAATGGCTGTTCTCTACCTTTTTGGGCTCAGGACCAATTTGTAAATGTTTATGGCTGGTCACCACCCAGTAAATAGTCTGGAGGTGGAAGCCCTGGGGTGCTTTCAGTCGTGTCCTGTCTCCCCAAGGGGGCTGGGTGCTGCCTGGCACTTATTCCCACAGTGGTGGCTCCTGCAGCTCTTGTGCTGTGGGGCTGGCTGGGCTTGGCTCTGGGCATTGCAACCTCAGGGGTTGCAACCCTGCTCAGGTTTGACTGCACCCCCCTGACTGGACCAAATTTGTGCCAGTGGAGCTGTGACCTGGCTCGTGGGGTTGCAG